ACTGTGCCCGACACCAAGGTGAGGACGAAGCCGATGGCCGCATACCAATTGAACGAGATGTCAAAGATGCTGAAGCCAGATGTTGGCAGATCCTTCACTGTGACTGTTGCATTCAAGTTCAATAGAGTGGAGGCCGTTGTCGTGGCATTCAGCGTCGTTGGGCAGTTGTCGGTGCTGATGGGCATGGCGGGATACTGATTCCGCCCCCAACTGCCCACCATGATGATGGCCATGCACACAATGCTCAGGGCGGAGGCAGCTAAGGCAGCCTGTGAGGAAAGTAAGGAACATTACTATATATATTTATATTGATACTGTACATCAAGAAGAGATACAAACTCGACCATGTACCCTGGGCACCAGCATGCCCAGGAGAAAGACGCCGCACACGGAGCCAAAGCCGATGCCGCCAATGGAAAAGACCATCTGCAGAATGGAGCTGAATTTCTCGACTATGATGCCGCCGAATATACAGTAGATGCCGGCCAGGAATACGAATATCTTCATAATCACATTGGCCTTGTGCTCCGTGTGGTGTATGTGCGGCTTGATGTAGTCGAAGTAGACGATGCCGCCCAGGGAGTTGATGCTGGCCGAGAGAGTGCTCAGGGCGGCGCTGAAGACGCACGAGATAAAGACGCCGGGCATGCCGGTCAGATGGCCCATAATATCCTGCACGAAATATGGCACCATCTTGTCCAGCTTGCTGACCAGACCCACGGCAAGCGGATCGCAGTCATGGTAGCGCGCATACATCACAATGCCCGTGAAGCAATTGAAGCTCATGATTAACAGGAAGCCGATGCCAAACAGAACGATTGCTCTGTAAGAATGCAGGCATTAGCGATTGGCGTGTTGATGTCAGCCGTACTGGTTCACCCACCTTCTGGCATGCCCCAGCGAGGGCAGCGCAACAATGCGTTGCACACAGCTCTGATGGAGACCCACATAGCTGGTCCAGGACACAAAGCCGGAGGCAGCGGCATTCCACATGGTAATGCGTGTCGTCAGATCAAATGTAAAGCTGAAAGTAATATGATATAGATAGAACTATGCCGTTTAACGCGTGGAGCTGGCATCTACTTCACATCCAATCGGCCGCCCTCGCCGGCAATGCGCCAAACCTCGCCCAGGCCGCCCAAACGTCGAGCGCCCAAGAAGCCCACCAGCACCACGGAGAACACCATGATGCCCGCTTGCACCACATCCGTCCAGACGACGGCCTTAATGCCGCCCTAAAAGGATCAGAAGAATGAATAAATTAAAATCACTTCAATATAATCAGATCTCATCTCAATTGCTTACGATCATTGTGTAAAAGATGCAGATGCTGCAGACAATTGTATTGATAATGTGAACATTAAAGCCCGTTACTGTAAAGGAGATAGAGAAAAGGCAAGATCGGAGGAGAGAGGGAGAGAGTGGGAGAGTGATTACATTATATGGCACACACGAGTGTTTTATCTAAAATGCGATATGATCTAATCTCACCTTGCGCAAAGGCCAGCGCTGGCAGAAATATGAATATGGGCAGCATAAGGAATATATTAATCACAAACCAAAAGGTTTGCAGCTTGCGGGTGGCGCTATTGAAGCGCAGTTCCAAGTACTAAAGGAGAGCAAGACAGAGATATACAAATATAATATCAACACTTAATTAAAAATTGAAATATTAATTATATAAAAAAAAATTAAATATAAAAAATTAAATTATTGTCTTACTATTATAAATTTAATTATTAGATTAAATTAGATTAAAATCAATAAAGCTACAAATTTCGTTTAGTTTAATTAACAAAATTTAAAAATTCATTAATGCAAATAAATACATTAAAAAATTTAATTAAACAAACAAAATTTTTTTAAATCTAAAAATAGACTTAGTGAAATATTCTAGACTAAAATTGGGTTTTCCGGGTTTGATATAATGTCAGGTTTTATTAAGATAAAAAATGTTTTAAAAAACTAAATCTTTATGTTATAGTAAATCAAATGTGATCATATATATGTGATTTATGGGCTATGCTATTTGGTATCTATATTATAGAATATGGTCTCTGGTACATGCTTTATGGTATAAGGTTTATGGTCTCTGGCTGTGGTTTATTGTATATGGCTTATGGTTTATGGCGAATGCCTAACGGTCTCTGATATTTGGTCTATAAAATATAATATATTTTGAGGTATATCTAAATTTAAAATTCTAACTCTATAAGTTTTTGATTTAATCACACACAAAAAATTCCACTTTCGCACCATATAGTCTTCATTTTGTTTATCAAATTCCAATCAAGTACCTCATAGCAGTTGGTAATATCGTTGTTGTAGAAGACGGGTATTATCACATAGTTGAGTACGGGTACAATCAACACCATGATAAGCACAGCAAAGTACCAATTCATGCCAAAGGCAAACATCTCAGAGGGGATGGTCATAATGGAGATGGCCGACAATTGGCTGGCCACCAGTGAGATGGCAATGGGCAGCGTCTTCATCCGTTTGCCACCCATCAGGTACTCCTCGGTGGTGTCGTCGCCCTTGGCAAAGAATCCAAAGTAGACACCGATGCCGGCAGATATGCTCAGCATGAATGTGAAAACTATATAGTCTGTCATTTGGAATGTGAAATGCGATCCCGCCAGGGTCTGAGCCGTGGCATTCAATAGAGCCGACATTTTGAGAACTTTTTCTCTATAATAATTCACTCTACCGACACTGGACGCGTTTCGAAATCACAATTGGGTTCCGCATGATGTCTACAGTGCCTTTTATAAGTTTCCATCAGCTTAGAATTTTATCAGATCAGAGCTATCGACATTATCAAAAGAACTGTTATCTAAATGCCTTTTACAAGCTCAATTTGATCATCTGTAGATTGTATATATATGTGTATATTACATAGAAGGTCTAGGACCTTATCAGATAAGCTCTGCCAACAGTGATTCTGCAAAACGACTATCGGAGCAAAGTCAGTCCATTCATTGTTTTCAGATGACGTTACACGTCCCACAAATCTCTGACAAGATCGCAAAGTTTCTTCACCGGGCTACGATAATTAGGCGCTTGCTGATTCCAATTAGACATGCCCATTTGGGCCTATGTAATGTATTTTTGTGGTTGGAATTTGCTGTCGCATAAGACCACAAATTCCACCTGGTTGTCATACTCTGCGGGTCACAGCGATGCAACACACTTGTGTGGCATCACTTATCACTTGCCCCTGCTTTGGACGATGTTGCCATAGCTGAGCAGCTGGCATCAGTCGAGTGGGCATGTAACGACTGCTGTATACCCTACACCAGATAGTCTGTAGTCTATCATAGCTAGCTTTAAATTATTCCTCCTAATCATAGAATATCCTATCTTACTTACTTCCTTATGCTGATGAAAGGTTTACTTAGTCGGCGTCGCACGACTCAAAAATACACGGCACAGAGCATTTGATATTAATATTTGAGATATATATATATATATAATTCCCTTTATACATACTAACATATGTATAGTTCAAGCTCAAGAGGGATTTATTGAGGCTTTAAATTCCTATAGGGCCCATTTCCTCTAAAATATTCCCATTAGTAAAATGAATTTCATTTAGGTAGAGTATGGAAAAGTGACTGTTGCCGGATGCAACCCGCAGTAATATCTGCGCTTAATGGTCAGCCCCTTGCGCTGCATTGTGACCCAATACTCAATGTCCCCTGCCCCGCTCCACCTCGTCGAGTCAACATCTCAGCTGCAGCTGATGAAATCGGCACTTAATGAGCATTGGATGCCAGCCTCAAGACACTTGATGAGAGCTCTACAAGTCATCACAACTGCAGCTTGTTGCGTCTTCAAAACCACAAAAAAGTGAAAGGATTATACGTAACACACACACAAAATAACCAAAACAAAAATAAACACCTGAACATCTGAAATGAACTCGCTTAATTTCAATGAGAACTCGAATGTCAATGCATAAATTTGTAGCTTTAGAATGTTGCATTGGAGCTTACAAAACTGTTTAATCTGGGTCAATTTGCAGATGAGTTTTAATTGCAGAGCATAAACATGAGAGCCAACTCGTAATGCCCATATACGAAGGCCTATGAAAACTATATAAGTTTTCATAGGCCTTCGTATCATATTTATGAAGATATACTGAAATTTATGGACCTGAAGCAGCTTAAGATTAGTAGTAGAGAATAACTATATACCAATATATTTATTTTTTTTTTAGGGTTTTTTATTTATTTATTATTATTATCTCATCGTT